GATAGATAGATAGATAGATAGATAGATAGATAGATATAGATGATAGACAGACAGACAGACAGACTGACAGATCATCCCACTTGTATTGGTTGGTTGCCCAATCATATACGTTTGATAGATAAATAGACAAGCGAATAAAGGGAAAACGGTTATGGAGATGGATGGAATAAAGCCTTCCAAAGTTGGACTATAAATAGAAGGGAAAACATGATAAATATCCCAACTAATTCACAGATAGACACATACAAACAAACACACTATCCTATTTGATGGCACATTCATCTTTTAGGCAAAAAAAAATCTGTTAGGTTTCTCTGTATGGTTTCACTAAGTGAGGGAAAGGATTTCCCTCCTTAATGAGTTGAAAAGGAAGTTGTATTTCATAGAATAATGTCTTGCTTTTTTAAAAAAAGATTTTCATAGAGGCATAAAGTTTTTGGTGTTATACAAAGAAGCATATTCATAAAGAAAATGGAGAATGAAAACAATATTTAGTTTGTTCTTTGCATTGCCCTGGCCGGAAGGTTGGAGAAGAAAAAATCTTTAACAAGCTTAAAATAAAAATGTGGTGGCTAAAATGTTTTCACTAGGCAGGAAAATATTAATATTCTTGACAGATGAAGAGTGAAATTCTTTTGACTTTTATTCTACAGTGTCACAAACAGTCAATGGCTGACAGAGAAAATGTCTAACTCTATGTCAATTTGCCAATGATTGTCTTGTTTCATTCATGCCTTCCAAGGAAGGCCTTTCAATGCAGTTATTTTATTGTCAATTGGACAACAGTTTGGAGAAAAAACATTATTTGTGTTTTCCTTTTTTGAATTCCTAGAGTCTCTTAAAACAAACCCCATTCCTACTTCCCACACAATTCTTCATTTGCTCATATTTCAAGCCAAAAACCACCAGGTTGGAGATCAGAGCCCAGTCAGCCTGGATCAGGCCAAGGTGCCATGGGCGGGTCCTTTGCTATTTCCAGGGCAGACCCGCAGGCTGGATCTAACCATCCTGCAGGCCCGATGCAGCCCACAGGCCTTGAGTTTGACACCCCTGATCTAACCAATAGAAGGTAGGCGGAAAACTCTCTGTGCATTGCACAAAGCAGAAAGTCATCCATTTTCTCTTCAAAAGTACTTTTCAACAAAGATCTTGGTACAAAACACACAATATGGAATCTTGGAATGCAAAGGTTGGAAATGATATAGGAGATCAATTCATCCAACCACCCAGCACTGGAATCGTCAACCAAAATGCTAGGTTTTAGATCATCCATATTGTTGTAGGCAGAGGTGGTATTCAGAGGGTTCTGATCAGTTCTGGAGAACCAACAGTAGTGGAAATTTTGAGTAGTTCGGAGAACTGGCAAATATCACCTCTGATTGGCCCTGTCCTTATCTATTCTCTGCCTCCCATTGAGTCCCAGCTGATTGGCTGGGTCTTCTTTTGTTGTCCTGCACAGGACAACGGAGCTGGAAAGCAGGTTAGTGGGGTGGGGAGGGAATGGGATTTTGCAGTATTCTTCCCCTGCCATGCCCACCAAGCCACGCCATGCCCACCAAGCTACATCATGCCCACCAAGCCATGCCCACCAAGCCACATCAAGTGCGCCAAGCCACACCACACCCACCAAGCCATGCCACGCCTGCCAAACCATGCCAAGCCCACCAAACCATGTCACACTGACTAAGCCATGCCACACCCACCAAGAGACGCCCACAGAACTTTTGAATAGTAAAAAATTTCGAATCCCACCACTGGTTGTAGGGCACTATATGTAAAAGTACAAGATAGAGGTTGGGTAACTTGAAGCATGGCGGGATTTGGGGGCCCTCACTGTAACTGCAATTGCTGTGGTTGTAAAGATTTCCTGCCATGGTGGGATAGGAAATGCAAAAACTACAGAATAAACCCCAAATATGTTTATCATTTTAAAACAAAAAACTACCCTGCAGAAAAACTGAGAAAGAAATTGAGCCTTATGGTTTTGCCCATCTGTATGGTACAAACCTTTCTCAGACCTCGAATGGCCGTGACGGCCTTCAAACCTTAAGAAAAGTATATCAGCAAAGGAGAACATTTGTAGCTCAGGGGTGAAATGAGGAGTTCTTGGTGCTATCTGAGCTCTGTTGTTTTCTTACAGACATTTCATTATTCAAACTACGTTATCATCATCAGTGTTAGTAGGGAGTGTGGGTTGCTCTCTATTTATATTCTAGTGGCTTGTCCTATCAGTGGTGTTAGGACTGATCTTGAAGATTCCTTCATTGGATCGTTTACTGTTTTAGCTATTGTTAACTGCCAAACAAGTTAATAGTAAACAGCCCGACTAAAGAACTTCCAAGACCAACATCAACAGGGCAAGCCACTAGAAAACAGAATAACAGAGTTGAAAGGGACCTTGGAGATCTTCTAGTCCAATCCCCTGCTTATGTAGAAAACCCTATGCTATTTCAGACAAATGGTTGTCCAATCTCTTCTTAACAACTTCCAGTGTTGGAGAATTCAGAATTTCTGGAGACAAATTGTCACCCACCGATGGATGGTTCTAACTGTTACAGTAGGAAATTCCTCCTTAGTTCTAGGTTGTTTCTCTCCTTGGTTAGTTTCCATCCGTTGCTTCTTGTCTTGCCTTTTGGTGCTCTGGAAAACAGTTCAACTCCCTTGTCTCTGTAGGAGCCCTTCAAATACTGGAACAGTGCTGTCATGTCCCCTCCCCGCTCAAAGAGAAAAGGGGATTTCTTTTTTCTTTCAGGGTACTATTGAAAGCACTTAGTTGTGGCTGAAATCACACCCTGAATCCTAAAAAGTGATAATGTTGAAAAAAAACTCTACTCGTTGCAGAATACCTTATGCCACCAGACTTGAAATTGTAGACCTAGAAAACCTAGAACTACGCTGCCTTCGATCTGATCTAAGTATAGGATATAAAATCATACATTGCAATGTCCTACCTGTCAATGAATACTTCAGCTTCACCCATAACAACACAAGAGCACACAATAGATACAAACTCAAGGTTAACCGCACCAAACTTGATTGCAGGAAATACGACTTCAGCAACAGAGTGGTCAATGTCTGGAATACTCAACCTGACTCTGGGGTTTCTTCTTCCCCAAACCCCCAAAACTTTAACCTTAGACTGTCTACTATTGTCCTCACCCCTTTCCTAAGAGGCCTGTAGGGGAGCGTGCATAAGCGCACCAACGTGCCTACCGTCCCTGTCCTATTGTTTCCTTTATTTTTATTATATGTATTCGTGTATTCATAACTATGTTTTTACTTATACCTATTATCTTGTAAGCAATTGACAAATAAAAATAAATAAATAAATAAAAATAAAACATGGTGGGGAAAGGATTTAGAATGGAAGGATGGTAGGCTGGAGCGGAACTCATCACAAACGAAGTCCAGGGCAAGTGAGGTTTTTGCTTTGGGGGTTTTATTCTGCCTCTGCTTTGATTCCTCTCTGCTTGAGACCACTCCCTCCACCCCACCACCCCTCCAGCCCCAGTGCTGATCCTGACAAAAAGAAGTTTCCTCTCTTTCCATAATGTGAGTTCCTTCAATGAAAGTCCTGTGCAGTTTGCAAACTGTGATGTCTTATCAACACAGCTGGTTCTGCTAATGGTAAGACTTAAGTATTTGGTATGGTAAGCTAAACATACATATTTTCTTTATTCCTGTCCTGAGCTGTTTCTAAAAACTTTCTTTTCCTTCCTTCCTTCTTCATTTTTTCTTTCTTTCATTCCTTCCTTCTTCATCTTTTCTTTCCTCCTTCTTCCTTTTCTTCCTTCCTTCTTCATTTTTTCTTTCCTTCCTTCTTTCTTTCTTTCCTTCCTTCCTTCTTCATTTTTTCTTTCTTTCCTTCTTTCCTCCCTTCTTCATTTTTCTTTCTTTCTTTCCTTCTTTCTTTCCTTCCTTCTTCATTTTTTTCTTTCCTTCATTCTTTCCTTCTTCATTTCTTTCCTTCCTTCTTTCCTTCCTTCTTCATTTTTTCTTTCCTTCCTTCCTTCCTTCTTTCCTTCTTTCCTTCCTTCTTCATTTTTCCTTTCTTTCCTTCTTTTTTCTTTCTTTCTTTCAAATCTGCACATCTCTATTTGGAATACCCTCTGGACTTCAATGGCATTTACACATTTAGATATGTATGTTGATAGATAGGGAAAATTACTTTATCTCACTATATACATTCCAATATCCCAGTATTTCATTCCTACAACCATCTAAAAAATCCTACAAGATTGTTTTAAAATACATTAATAAGTTATCTTTTCCTAGAACAAATTTTATCCTGTTCTTCATTACAATGGTGATAACTACCACACTTTATTTTCCGATCTGGTTTAAAGATAATAGGGGGTGGGGCTTTACTTCTCCTGGAAAAAAACACATACTGAAGTTGTTAGAAAGAAAATGAGAGACAGAGAGAGAGAGAGAGAGAGAGAGAGAGCATCGGGAACAGACTTTTATATTGCAAGATTTGTGTTTTTCCAGACTGCAGAGTTTAAGTAATCAAATCCTTTCAGTTCATTCAGTAATTCTGCTGACCTATTAAAAGTCCCATTCTTTTTTGGGGGGCGGGGAGAGGGGGCATGTAGTTAAATATACCTTTAAGAAAACACGCAACTCTATTTTTTTCTGGTCAGCACCTCTATTTTTCCCCCCCAATTCTCCAACTGCACTCTGCAATGGGATAGCTGGATGTTGGGGGCTGGGAGCAGAGAAAAGCTTTAAATCTTTCTTTTAAATCTCCAATATATGAAGTCTGAGGAATAAATTCAAAGCAGGCCTGGATGCCTGAAGAAAAGTGAGAGAGAAATATTCCGTTTCATTCAAGCACATCAAGGGTCTAGCTGGAGTCTTGTTTAGCTAAGGTCAGACTAAACGAGGTCCTCCAATAAAAATAAATCTCAAATT